TACACTCCCAGCCTGCCTGGCCTCTGAGTCACCACAACACAGGCAGACGGGCCGCGGGCAGCCGACGAGAAGCATACGTGTCTGTCCCGTCATGTACTCATATGTGTCCTGTCTATCCCGTAATGGACGTTCCTTGCTTGTCCTTCAAAATTTACATTATTATTATGGTTCACTTAATCCTATGAAAAAAGCTCCTAGATTTATTGAATTTCGAGTCCCGCCTGCGGTTGCTTTGGCAGGGCCAGACCAAATGATTTTGGCCCGTGGGCTGGACGTTCCCCAACCCTGATGTAAGTGCACACACACACACATGCACACACTATATAGTGTTACTTTATTAACAGTATCCTATTTATTAGTTTACATCACCTGCATTTCTTAATATTTTGGAAGAGTGTCATCCTTCTGCTACCTTAACTCTAAAGCTGCTGTCACTACTGCTGCTGCTAGGCTTCTCTTAGGCCTTCTGCATATACATAGTCTTAATCGTCTTCCTCAGTTGTCCCTTGCTCTGAATCTGAAGAGCCATCAGGTGGCAAGACTACTGACTGAATTTCTCTCCTAGGCCTACTATAAAATATCTTTGTGGAAATTCCCTGACATAATTAATCAATAATGCACCTTTATGCGATGAAAAAATAGCATTTCAATTGTTGTTGTTATTTAAAGTATACAAACATACTGTGGTAGGCTGCAACAATTTAACATTGTAATTTGCTTCAAGTACTTCTGAAGGCATTCAGAGTTCATACTTGCTATGATGTTATGTTACAAAATTAAATCTGCCACCTCTCCAGGATTTGTTTCTGTGCTCCAAACAGATAGGGTCTTATGAACAGTGTTGTGTTTTTTATCCTGTATTTGACTTAGTTACATTAACATACATACATAAACATACAGTATAATGTGTGCTACATAGAGTATACTGTGTACTACATACAGTAAATTCACACATTTTAAACTAAACAAATTTAGTTGTGTGCTAAAGGATATTTTTTAAAATATCAAAAATTATATTTGTGAATACTTATGTGATTACATTAAAGAACATAATAAGAACACAAAAGGTCTAAGGACACTAAATATGGTCATGGTATCCTAATATAAATCTTTTTCATGTACATTTTTCATACATTTATCATTCATTTTCTATCCCTAACTCAGGGGTCTGTCTTTTTTTTTCTTCTCCAGTGACTGCAAAATGTATAAGATATATAGATTGAAGCTACTATTTTCTCATTCTTTCATAATGTTTCAACAAAATATAGATGACAGTAATGGCATCTACTGTACAACACATATCTTAAATCTTATAAATAAGATCACACATTTTCCTGCTCCTTTTGGCAAACCTGGGGGACATGCAGTAGTGTATTGCTGTTAAAAAGAGCCATTCACTCTTTGCTGAGCAGTAAAATTTGTCAAAACACTCAATATCTGTCCCTGATATAACCTTTTAGGCTTTATGAAACTTGACTTTACATACATGTTCTCCTAATTATAACTAAAAAGCTTGCAAAATATAAACATAATACTCCTCACTTAAAGGAATCATTTAGGATTATTTCAGACACACTGTACAATTCAGTACATCTTTCTTTATCTCTGATAGCCCTCCTAATATCTGTTTTTTGCTTGTGGTTCTCTTTTAATTCTTTTTTTGAATGCCTCCTTCTCTTTTTTTCATTTTTCATTCTGAAACAGGGGTGATATGTAATGCAATTTGTTTGATTTTGAATGAGCTATCAACTTTTCAAATATTTACAAAGGAGTTGGCTATTCCAGACTATGTACACTAAGAAACAGGAAACGTTCTGTGTTTAAACTAAGTGTTTAAAACAAAACAGAAGCCCTTTTCATAGCCTAATTCTCCTCATCAGTGTGCGAAAATATGGAAATGATTCTTGCATATTTTTTTTCACCATCCAGTGTGAACCCTGCCTTGCACCTGTTGTTTGGTAGGATAGGGTCCTCTGTGAACCTGAATTGGAAGAAGTGGTTAGAAAATGGATGTATGGATTCACATAAAGTGCAAATTTTAAACTCTAAATTAGCACAAATGTACATTATGTATGAAAGTTTATAGTTTACAGTACATAGTATATAGTATATGGTATCTACCTAAATAAAAAGCTTGAGTCAAAACAAAACTCCCCCCCCTTTACTGACCAGATTTTTCCTTTCTTTTTAAAATACAAGATCATTTCGGTACCAACTTGCTTTCTTTAGGTTAATACTGTAGCTACTGCTAGGTGTAGACAGTAGTGCTTGTTGTGGGACACAGCTTCCTAACACTCGTGAGAGCAGTGGAAACTGGACAGTAGATCAAAGCTGATTTAGCAGTGCTGTGCGGATACTGCCATCTAACGTAGTGACTGTGCAAGTTCCACCACAGAAAGCAGAAAATTGTCAGGAATGGAGTTGCAGTTGCCTCTACATTGCCTTACCTTCACCAAGCCTCCTCCCACAGCCCCGGGTTCAAGTGGAAGCCCAGCAGCAGCAGATGAGGCAGCAATTTGATTGGTCCAAGAGGGGCAAAGGTCTCTACACTGCAGGTGTATATTATGACTACCTACTGTATATCTATTTTTACAATTTGCTGTCTTTTTATAAATACTATTTAATTCTGTTTTCCTTTTTTTCCAATATTATCACTAGCTAATTATACTGTTAATGATGTTTCTGTAAGTGTTGTAAGTTTACTGATAAATGTGACCCCTAGAGTTTTAGTTCCTCTCCTCCCTTGTCTTCTGGTCTTCTGTTCTGTATTGACAAAATGTATGGTCACTTGCATTGTTAAGCGCCTTGGGGCAACCTTGTTGTGAAAGGCACTATATAAAAATAAATTGAATTGAATTGAATTGAAATGAAAGCAGATAACAAGGAATTTTGTATAATTAATGTTTATTCCCTTAAAAGTGACCAGACCACCTTTTTCAGTTCAGTTCTTACCAATATTACTTCATATTGTCAAAATCATCTCAGTCATTGCAGGGGACATTAATTTGGTTAAACAGCAGATGAATATATTGATAAGTCCAATAATAATACATAATACATGTTTTTTAACTGGGCACTACTGCTGAAAGAGATTATTATGTATTACAGTCAAGCTAATAGGTTTTATCTGTCTCATAAAATCACATTTATATTCTCAGACACAAGTAAATACACATTAACTATTGTGAAGTTAACATCAAGTGTTCGGAGTTCAGTTTATGCACAATTGCAATGAAATTCTCAAACATGCTTCTGGAATAATAGTTTAACTTTCAAGATTTATGATGTGACTAACCAAATGTAATACTCTAAGATCCATTGTGCAGATGTCATTGATGAGTTTAAACATTGTGCTGGAAAAAGCTTTCTGGGTTTCCATAGCAGCTAGAGGAGAGAGAACTATTCCTTGCATTAACCTCAGCATCCTGCTGACTTTGGTCTATAAAATAGTCTGTGCATTTTGTCTTCTTGGGCTTTAGAAGTTAGACAAAAGGGTAACTATAACATAGTTAACATAGAAATAACATGTAGGGTCTTTAATGAATTTTCCAACCGAAATGTGAATTTTCATCCTCCCTTATTAAGTTATTTCCCCTTCAATAGGAGTTACTTTATGTTTTGCCAGTATTTTGCTCCATTTATGATCCCAGCAATCATTAGAAGTTTCCCAGACGCTGCTGCTTGGCACCATGTGCCACCATGCTTGACAATAGAGATTGTTTTGACTGGGTGATGTACTACATTGTGCTTGCATCAGATGTAATGCTTTGCAAAAAAGTCAAAACAGTCAGTAGCCATTTCGCTGTGCAACTCTCAACTGACAAACCGCTAAAGCTCAGCAGGTGTGAGCCTGGTCAGCACTAGGATGGGAGACTCCTGAGAAAAACTAAGGTTGCTGCTGGAATAGGTGTAAATGGGGCCAGCAGGGGGTGCTCACCCTGTGGTCTATGGGGGTCCTAATGGCCCAGTATAGTGACGGGGACACTAAGCTGTAAAAAAGCTCCTTCCTTCAGATGAGATGCAAAACCAAGGTTTTCTGTGGTCATTAAAAATCCCAGTGTGCTTCTCGAAAAGCGTAGAGGTCTTACCCCAGCATAATGGCCACATTTCTTCCCGGCCTTTACCAATTATGGCCTCCTAATAATCCCCATCTATAAACTGGCTTCATCACTCAGCTCTCCTCACCACTTATAGGTGATGTCTGGTGAGTGTACTGGTGCATGCTAGCTGCCGTCGCATCATCCAGGTGGGGCTGCACATTGGTGGTGGTGGAGGGGAGTCCCTATTACCTGTAAAGTGCTTTGAGTGGAGTGTCCAGAAAAGAGCTATATAAGTGTAAGCAATTATTATTATTATAAAAAGTTCACAAAAACTTGTTTGCTGTATCACTTATATGCTTTCTGCAAACCCAGTAGGATTCTTCATTTCCATGCAAGCCCCCTTTGTGGAGTGACACAAACTGGTGACCTTAAGCACCCTGTTTTACACTGAACTCTGAAACTTTCAAAGCCACCCTTGGCCTCAGGGTGGGGGGACACAGGTGCAGTGGGCTGGACTGTCAACCTCAAATGCAGAGAAAGTAAATGGGAAGGGAAGCCCATAAAATTGAGAATTTTACATTTTTCTGTCTTATCCATTTACATGTTTTCTTACATTATGCTGGATATATTTTATTTACTACAGCTGTACTTTTGCTTGTAATTGTAAACTTTTTTTGTTAATATATTTTAGCGCTCAATTCCATACCCCTTTCTTTATCACTTGTAGCCTTACTATTTTTTTCCTTTGATTTTCTTCTAATTATTTTTAATGCATCTGTCTCTTTTTATCATTTACTCTATAATACTGCTCATATGTTAACCTATTGGTGTGGCTCTGAATGAGCTATCAACTAATCAAATATTTAAAGAACTAACTGTTCCAGAGTATGTACACTAAGAAAGAGGAACACCTAAGTGTAAAAAACACAAAATCCCCTTTCATATCCCTTTCCTCCTCACTGCTTATATATAGTAATGATTCCACCTCATTATTTTATTTCATCGTCTGCAATACATTTAGGCTGTAAGTACTCTCTGTGTTTTTATGTGTACGTGTGAGTCTTTTCTTTTATGTTGTAATCCATACAGTGTTACTTCATTGATCATTTGATTGCTCTACAGAAGAGCTACAGTATATTACTGTGAGGTCAACAAGGCAGAGAATTCAATTCCTTCACTATAAAACCATTTCCTATGCCTTTTCAAAGATTGGTTCTGTTTGCAAAGACTCAGATGCTCTGAGATGAGCTGATTAGTTATGCTGACATTTATTTAAGTTCTTTAACAGCCGCAGAGCATCTAAATCAGAGATGATTGTACTTCATAGTACAATAGTTCAGCAACATAATATCAGGCTACATATTGAAACGTCTGAAGAAAAGTTAACAATTCACAACCTAACCATTTTCAATCTAACCATTTCCACGATGCTTTGTAATTGTATTCAGTTTTATACAACACGTCAACACAATACAAATTTTCTTTTGTTGCATTTTGGAATAATTCTCTATTACTGTTATTATTTTTTTCTGTACAAATACTGTACAAATATCTACACATGCAAAAAACAATCTTGCAAGGATATTATTACAAAAATATTAATGGATGAATATCAGGTGTGTAAACTTTAAACCCTGAATTGTGAAACAGTGAATATGTATTACTTTATTTACTTAGTACGCCTTTAGAATTACTGATTAAGAAAAAAGTACGAGACCAGAAGGTATATTGTTACTTCTGTCATGTGGAATGCTCAACCAGATGTTCTTATTTATTATTAGTTATTGAAGGTACTGTAGCGTTAGCGATCCAAAACAGCTTTTAAATAAAATGCTTGAGTCAGTACAAACTCAGATCTTAAAACATAATAGACCCCCGCAATATTTCACAGTGGGCATGAACATTTCATCTTGAGCTTCACCTTTTTTTCCATCAAACATAACACTGATGATCATGTCCAAAAAGCTCAGTTTTCGTTTAATCTGCCTATAAGACATTACAAGTGTTATTTAAATGTAAAAGTTATATTTGCCTCTTCCTGTGGTTTGTCCCCTGAAGATGTTTCTTCCTTGTAACCCAGCTATTAATACTGCATTCACACATGTAAATTTGAATTTCCAACACTTTGTCTGCTGAAGATGGCAGTTTGTACATTCGTATACAGTATGAACCTTTCTTTCTTCCTCTGATTGTACAGAAACAAGATGACCCAGAAGATGGCTGCGCTGATGCTGTTACTTCTGATCATGACTGTGGTACCTATATCAGGAAAATGTGTTCAGTAAGTGCATTCCAATACAAAATATTTTATTGAAGCTGTATCACGATGTCAATTACAAATACTTTTGATAGATTCAACATTTTGAAATACCTTCAACAAAAAAGTCATTATAAGCTTAACTACATGGAGATGTTTGGGACAGTGGAAGGAAATTGATCATTTTTGATAATTTTACTGTTAAGATTTGTATTTCAGATAAAACGAAAAAGCAGCCAAAAGTACAGAATATCAGCTTTTGTTTCAGGATATTTTGTGCATATACTCTATATTAAACCATCTTAAAAAATGTTTTTTTTGAGTTCAATTCATCTAGAATGCTTTGCTTTTGTCTCCCACTTTACCCTGCCTCCATAGGCACCCAAATGGTGCCATGTCTACCTCTGAATATAGCTGATATTTCTTCTTGTTTCAGCACTTAACCATTCAGTGATAACAAACTTCAGAAAGCAGTAACTCGGTACCCATTTCTATCCTGCTTATGCTTCAGTACAGTTCACCTCAGGCTACCCAACCAAGGGCTTATTTGCTAACTTCTATTCCATCACCTTCCTTATTCACTTCTTACTGTACTTCATTTGTGCTCCTCTGACACATTGTATTACCAACCCAACTCAATCACAATTACTTTAGTTCCGTAATGGAAGAAAGCTGGATCGGTATTTTGAGGGACTTTCATCCAGTGTGATTTCCTCAGACAGAGAAATTAGAATGAAGCACTAAAAAAACTCTATGCTGTCCTTTTATATCCGTTGTCACATTTCATCACAGTTAGAATTTGACTGAACTATTGAATTGAGGCAGACATTTGGGACGAGGTTATAGGTTTACATGAAACATTTGTAATGCCAGCACACTGAACCACTTATTACAGCTCACAGTCAGCGTGTCGCCTAAAAATGTACACTTTTGAGTGGACAGTCACTGAGTCTGGCAGATGAAAATCCTCCACACTCCAATTTATTCCCTTTTCGGAAAATCCTGCACAGTCCACTGTTCCGTCGTGCTTCTCACGGAGATTTCAGTAGCACAGTCACAGTAATTCCTCTTCAGATACACTCTTCCATCAGTCAATTTTAGGAACTCCCCCACCAGGCCTCCTCTCAAATACTCATTTTCTCTATTATACTAATCACAAACTTATTTAACCTAGAGCACTTAATCTGGCTTAAAGCTTTAATCAGTACTAATCACCTTCCATAACGACACTGGAACATTTTAAACTAAATACTAGAATTTTCTCCCCAAGTGACTCTGAGATGCAAAACACTCTGTATCTTTTGTACACTAATCATCATCTCTCTGCTGGTGTTAAAGCATAGCAGCCTGTGGAATTTCATCTGCCCTATTGCTCTACATTCACTTCTGAGCAGTCAGTGTAGGAGCCTGGATAAGGACTGGTTGCCCTTTACCACTTCCAAGCTCTGTGTGCCCAATTACACACAAAGCCAATCAGATCTGCTCTTGTCTTCATGTGGAATCTCACTCCCACTGGATGCCAATTATCTAATTAGGCCAAGTGTGTTTCATTTTCTCTCTAATAGGAAGTCTGCAAACAAAGCCACTTCTTTCATCCTCACACATACATTTAGTTATGTTAATGTTTTATTAAGACTTCAGTGAAGATCTAATGACATTTTAGATACTGTACAATCACTATAGCAGAGGGGATGAAGGCTTGTGGGATCAGAAACACATTGTGTTTTCTTTCTTCTCTTTTCAGCATGGAATAAACCTTGTTCCTTTGCAGCCTACACATGCTGACACAGCTACCCACCTGAACTACTTCAAGATATATTAGTTTTGGATTTTTCTTTGTAACTTTTACTGAAATTTAATTTACTTAATCTAACTTGATTCACTTAATTTAACTGCTGCAGCAAAGGACTTCATATAGAGATACTGTATGTTGACAGAATACACATTTATTTGTTCCAAAACACCTAAACCCTTGGGATTTATTACATTTATTAAAACTGAAACATGATAAATGTGATATAATTGTCCTTCGGATGAGATGTAAAACCGAGGTCCTGACTGTCACAATTGTAGTCCCTCCTCCTTAAGGGCGCTCCAGCTCTTCCACTTCGGACCTGATTTTGTGCACCTGCCCCTCGTTCCAGCCTCCTTCCAGCCCCCTTTAAAAGCCAGACGCACACACAGTTCGGGGCTCGTGCAAGCCTGAGACCTGTAATAGCCTGGCTCCGTTATGTTTTTAAGTTTCTGTTCTTGTTCCAAAAGAAATTTGGTTGACTGACTAGCAGGAGGGGAGACTTTTAGGAATTAGGTGTGTATGAAGAGAATTGGGAGAATCACTTCAAGTCCTCATCTACCTGTTTAAAATGTTATTGAAATTGTTTACTCCAGAATTCCCCAAATTGAGTGTCAACTGGAGAAGAGATGCATCCTTCACTTTCAAAACTACATACTGCATCTGCAAGCACCTTGGAGGTCACAGACGTCACTGTGTCGCTGAGAGCCAAGCATCCTGACCAGCATCCTCACCGCAGTGCTCAACCATTTATGAGTCACTGCTTGAGGAATCCTACTCACATGCCCGAGGCTCGAACCCGTGATCATAGAGAAATTCACATCACAAGCTTGCTAGTGTAGTACTCGTATCACATTAAGTATGAAAAGATAAGGTGGAGATTAATGTCGGATTGACACGGAGGACAAATTTACACAAATTGTGCGCGTCTTACTTAGACAATTATATTTAGCTTGTTAAACGGTGTGTTCCAGGTGTGAACTTTCGCATCAGTTGGGGAAAGATGAACAGCTGAGAAAAGGAGATTATCTGCTTTCAGAAAACGGCAATTTCAAAGCTATATTTCAGGTAAGTGACTCCTATTTCACAAATCAAATTAAGCAAAGATCATAAATTAAACCAGAAATTGCATGATTTGTCATTTGCTTCCTTACATGCAGTATGAATCTTTCATTTTTATACTTCTATTTAAAACATTCACCAAGTCCATATCAAGAATGAAATTGTCCATGACATTTTAAGATATTATCTAAAGATTAAGAAACAGCTTCATGTGAAAAAAATAAGCTATTTTTTGTTTTGGCCTTTTATTTCATAGGAATGATACTCAAATACTACAGCTGTTTAATTACTCACTGTAAATTCCTTGAACACTTTCCCATGTGAAAACTAAATTCAGCACAGACTCTGAATTATCACCAACTTTAGTCCCTAATATAGTTCATACTGCAGCAGAGTGAATCAGACTATACTGGTTATACAGTTACTGTAACTGCAATTATTGTCGTTGACAACTTCTTATCCGCCTCCAGAAGCTCTGGTAATGTGTTTCTACCTGCAGTTTGAGCTGCTTCTTCCATATATTGCATTTTACTACTGTTTTCAATTTATGTGAGCCCAATTTTCCGAACTGATAGTTATTTTGCTTTTTTAAGTTTCAGGTTTACAATTGAGAAAACTAACTTCTTTATGTTGTGAACTTTTCAAGGATGATGGGAACTTTGTGGTGTATGGCTGGAAGCCAGTCTGGGCCAGTAACACTGATGGGTTACATAATGCTGATCATCTGATTATGCAGAGTGACTCGAACTTGGTGGCCTACAAGACTGATGGTAAAGCCATGTGGCACACAGGCACCTACACCGACATCAACAGCTTCAAAGACTGCGTGCTTCAGCTGAGAAACGACGGCACCTTGATTGTTGAAAGAGATGGTCATGAAGTCTGGTCCTCTGCAAAATCCCAGGGTCTCAAAGTTTAATGGAAAGCTCCATTATAAATTGTTCTGTTTTCTCCACCTCTAAAAATATTTTACACTGGAAAGCACACAAAATGTAATAAATAAATAAATACATGAAGCATATTATGTATCTGTTTCTTATAGTTTAGACTCAAGTTGGGACTGATTAAAATCTGGAATCACAGCAACTTTTACAAATTCTTTGTTCATAGCTGCAATACTGTGTAGGGATGTCAACTGGGTTCAGAGTTCTAGGACATTGAGAGATTGGAAAGTGGGATATTTATCCATCCATTTTCCAACTGCTTCATCCAATTCATGGTCAGGGTGAGTCGGAGCCAAACCCAGCAAAGGATGGGACGCCAGTCCATCACAGAGCAGATACAGACACAAACATACTCATACCAGGGCTAGTTTTCCTTGAAGCCAATTAACCTGCTAGTATGTTTTTGGATTGCGGCAGAAAAGTGTAGCATGTGGAGGAAACTCATGTAAACACGGGAAGCGCATGCAAACTCCATGCAGATAGCACCCCAGGTCTGGAATTGCACCTGCAGTCCTGGAATTGAACCTTGTGTAATTTGCAGTTGCGCCACATGGAGGGTCTGTTGCACTTCTTTACACTAAAGCTTCAGGTACCTGCAGCACTCCTGCTTGTTCTCATGAAATATTAATTAATACTGGATTTTGTCTGTAGACATGTCTTCAGATGTTGATGAATTTTCCTTTGTCTAGATGTTTCCCATCATTATCTTGAATGCACTTTAGTTTAGTACTTTTGTTTGCATATTTCTGAAAGAAACTTTCATGAGATCAGTGTAATATTGATCTGAATGGGCTATCAGCTAATCAAATATTTAAAGAGCCATCTGTGCCAAATCCTGGAGAGTAACAAGAGAAAAGTTTCTGTTACAAACACAAGAAAGTTCTTTCCATAGTCCTCCCTCCTCAAACCTACTGAGCTGCAAATATTTCTCACCTGCAATACATTTAGACTGTAAGTACTCTGTTTGTACTGTATATTTATTCTTTTTTCTTCTGTCGTGCTCCATATAATTTTTGTTTATTGATCTTTTTGTTTTAAATTCAGATATGCTCACCTAAAGTAGTTCAAGGAGCTGTGTCAGTATGTGTAGGCTGAAAAGGAACAAGTAAAGGTTTATTCCATGCTGAAAAGAGGAGAAAGGAAACAGCGTTTTGGCTGTGGAGCCTTCACACCCGAAGAAGGGTCCACAGCTGTTCCTTTGCATGCTCGCCTAAATACATATTTCATTCATCTTTTAATACCAAGTGAAATATATATAGATGAATCATACACTTGGAATTTTGATCAAAATGTATGCAAACTAGTTGAGGCCATATAAGCTTGCAAGGTTGTCTGCTATTGAATACAGTTCATCTGCATCTTCTCAAAATATAAAATAATACACACTCAGTGCTTTTGGAATCAGCTTCCTATCTTTCTATCTTTTCTCAAAACCAATGTGGTTTTCTTTTTAATTCTCATAGGCAATGCTAAACAGTATATAGTTTTATCTTTCCAGTTTTTATTTCCATAGTAATTCACTTTTTTCTTAAAAGCTTCTGTATGCTCCATTAGATCTTTAGCAAAATGCCTTTTGAGATTAATAAGAAAATCCTGCCTAATAAATGAGAGAATCATCTAATCTCCATGAGTAAATTCATCACAGTTAATTAATTGCTAATAACTGAAGAATAGCTCAAACTACCCTATCCGTTAGTGTGTAAGTGTGATTGGGGGAGCCTACACACTGAAGCTGAACTTTGCCCAAGCTCTAGCATTCCAGATGTCAGGAAAAGATGTTCAGCCTTGTCCTGCAAGAACTTGCTGCAGGAATACAGATGGACTATTTTTCCTGCACTTGTCTGTTGCTGTCAGCAGCTCTTCACCCACAAGTACCTTTGTCCGACTGTAAAACAAGTTGCTTGACCTGTTTCTGTAGGGCTGCTATTCTGTTTGCTCTCTGAACCCAGGGCCTACAGTATATATATATATTCTTTTATTGGCTTTAACCTTTGCCTCCTGAAACTTTGGAAGCCTCTCCCTTTCCTCTCCATTGGTCACCCATTAATTAGCACAACAGGCTTGAAGAGGCCAGTACACAAGACTGACAGCCCAACCCTAACCCTAACCCTTCAGTTCTTCAGGTTTACAGTAAAACTGGTACCTTAAAAAAATAAGGCCAAAACACAGGTAACAGATTAAAATGTACTGTGCTTATACCACATACTCCTGTTTTTTTCAAGAATGCTCTGTGGTATCACACAACCAGACAACCCGATATTACTTGGAGAATCCTAATTTTTCAATTAGTGTTTCATGTCACAAACAGTAGAATAATTAATTTAGTAGTCATCTTAATAATACACCTGGCCATGGTGAGGTGTTACTTCATACTGTATGTGACACAATAGGGAGCATGATAGAACAACCATAAAGGTAAAACAAGGCTCTTTTATTAATACAGTGAGAAAAAATGCAATTAAAAACTAAGTTTCCCTTAGTTGTAAAAGAGACAATTATCTGTACTCTCTCAATACACAATCAGGCAACTACTGTAAGTTGCTCACCAGCCTCAAAAAACCAAAACTCTCAGATCCAAAAACCTCTTTTCCAAAAATGTCCATGGGCTCTTCAGTTAGTTTTTCCCTCAGGATGGGAGCATTTCAGAGGCTCTGTTCTCTTTCAAGACAGCAGAGGCCAATAGAAACCGGGACCCACTTCCTGTGTTTAAACTGTTACCAGACTAATTGTCTTACACCCATTGGTCAGGTGATGGAAGATGACAGGTTGTCCCATATTGCTCTCTGGGAAATGTGGTTCTGCCATTTGCTCGACATTTGCTCTCTTACTACTGTATATGTCTTTTTTTGCCAGAGCAAACGCATAAATACAGCTACAGTACAATTTATTTGTAAGGTAAAACCTCCCAAACCCCCCTTACTGTATATGTTCTGAGAACCCTAACATAAACACCAACCATCCAACTATTTTATCCAATTGAGGAAACTCACTCTTTTGCCTGTCCTCCCTTGTGTTATGGGTTCGGTAATAGGGACCGAACCAGTGAGTGAACCCACTTGCAGGAGCGAACAAA